GTTGTAAAAGGGGCCCCTATTTTCATTCCTCAGTCAGTCCTGCAAATAATGTTGCTGATTCTGGATACCAGTGTGTTTGGCATCTTGGTTTTCCAAGTCCCGGGGCACCCTGGAGGCTGATTCAGGGAATGATTCAGTCCCCAGGGGACCTGTTTCATGAACACACACACGATGTTGCCCATGAGAAAGATGCTTCCCAGCCTAGGTCAACATCTGCCTCTCTGCAGCACCATCTGTTTGGTGAACCCTGACGTAGGAGCCGTCTTGATGGGGGCTGTGGGGAGTCCTCGGTTGTGGCAGACATGACTAACATACTGACCCACAAGGGGCTGGAGAGATTTTCCAAAAGTTTCTTTCTGGATAAAGTGAGTAAGATGAGGGCAGAAAAGTTGTACATTAAAGTAACATGTGGTTTGGGGTGTGCTTATCTATCTCTTCCGTTTTTATGAAATGATAGAGACTGTAGGAAATAAGTTTTTGTTTTTTATAAGGTCCATAACTTTGCACTGATGCTCATAATGATTTCTGAGCTATAGATCTATGAAATCCCACAGGGTGCTTTCTTCTAACTTCAGTTCCCATCCACGACTCTAGGAACTCTACAGTCAGGTGTGCCGATGGGTACCGCTACACTGTGAGGAGAGCAGCCTCACCCAACCCGGGACCTGTCAACCTCTGGGCCAGCCGCAGACCCTGGTGTTCATGGTCTGGACAGACTACCTGTCCTCTCCCTTTGTCCTTCTGAGAACTCAACAACCCAAAAGAGCTTTATAATGTGTGACAGAAGATAGACCAACAAGAATCATCCACTCAGCATAATTCCATTTATGTAAATTCTAGAAACTTTCTGATGACGGAAAACTAAGGAGTAAATTGCCTGGAGATGGGGATGTGGGGTGGATTGGCTAATAGAGTATGGGGAAAAATGGTGGTAAAAGTAATATACATTATCACATAATTTCATGGGTCTATATACAGGTCAATACTCACCAGATTATATAATTCATGTATGGGCAGTTTTTCATATGTTAGTTATATATCAATTCAGTTGTGAAAAACAAAATGTACACATTTATTATACAACTTAGAATTTACTGGAAAAGTATGTTGCAGGAAACAAACAAGTATATATACCCTGAATTCAGGAAGCCCTTTTTTGAGGATTTATATACAGAAACAGAAAACAATTGGCCCTTAAAAATATGTCCATGAGAATATTTCTTGCAATGTCATTAAAGAAGGAAAACGAATTACTTAAAGTATCTCACTAGGTGACTTTTCTGTTGCTATAACTGAATGCCACAGACCAGATAATTTTTAAAGAACAGTTTATTTGGCTTATGGTTCTGGAGGTATGAGGTCCAGAGTACAGCAGCGTTTGTTCAGCATCTAGTGAGGCCTTCTGCTGCTACATAGCATGGTGGAGGGCATCGCATGACAAGACAGAGCAAGTGTGCCAGCTCTCATCCCTCTTCCTCTACTCATAAAGCCACCAATGCCATCCCAGGCTCCCCCTGTATTTCACCCCCTGCCATGGCCTCATCTCATCTCAATTACCTTCCAAAGGCCCCACTTCCAAATATCACTAGCACCTAACTTTGAGGATGAATTTTCAACACATGAATTCCAGGGGCGATACCCAAACCATAGCACCAGGGGAACAGATCAGCACATCATCAAGAACTCTTCTAGAGCCATTAAAATGATGAATTTAATGGATAGACTTCGAGTGGGAGGGATGTTTATGTTTTAAGTGAGCAAAACAAAATGCAGCTTACTCTCTACACTACCCTGGGCTGGGCAGATTTGGTGGGGGGGCTACACCCACAGGTGTGTCTCTCCTTCAGGTGTGTCTCTGTCTATGATACAGAGACAAGTGAGAACAGAAAGCTATTTAGTGGGTATACAGATGACCAGAAATAAGGCTCCTTTGGGGGAAGGCCTTCATAAACCACTTGGTAAACATCCTGAGAGAATAATTTCCAGAGAGCAGATTGTGGCTCCCCACTGTGCAGAGAAAGCCCCTTCATCTCCAGGATCATGTTCTCAGATGATCAGAAATAAGGCTCCTTTTGGTCATTACTGGTTAGTAAAGAAATATGAATCAGAAGAAAGTCTTTGGGAAGAGATTATTTACACATTTTTGTGAAAATGAGTACCTTTCACTCTTTTGATTCTAAAAAAGTAAACACAAAAAGGCAAAATAAAGTAAAGATAAAGTTCAACTTAAAATGACTAAAAAGTATACTGCTTGTGTGTTGTGGGGTCAGAGAGGCAGAGGTGAACTAAGGAAAGGGTAAGAAATGTCTAGAATCTAGGTAGGTAGTATTAAAATAACTAAATTAGAGGTCCTTAGACCCGGTGGCTCTAATGCCCTGTGCTTCTTACATGAACAAATAAAGACCTAACTCAGTCCCATTTCCTATACACGGCTAATTCAAAAGAAAATAAAATTAAAGCTCCACCAATCACAGTGGCCACACTGAACGTCAGGTTTATTGTCTTGAGCTACCCACTGGGATACTCCAAAGACAAGAGCTCAAACTTTAACCAATCAAATAATTTCCTTTTTTTGCTTGGGCATTCACCCTATAAAAGCCCTCCCTGGGGCTCCTTTGGGTTGAAGCTGTCCAATTAGTGTATTGTTGTCTGTTCAAATAAATAAACTCAAAATTTTTATTATGCCAAAGTTTCTCTTTTAATAATAAGTCTACGGATATTTACTTTACCAGTTGCAAACTTTCACCATGAAAGCTCCTACTCTGGAGACTTGCCCAGAACATGATACCCAGGGTGGGCTAAGGAGGCTGGCTGCCTTCTGCTTACAGCTCCCCTCACTTRCAGGCCAGGCACCTCAGGCTCCTGGAGAGTTTCCAGAACTCTGGGAACAAAACATGCCCTCTAACCTGCTGCGGGCTGTACCCCAGATGGAAGCACTGCCCAACTCAGGCACCCCAGAGACTTGTAACAAACTTTGATTCTTTTTCTCACCTCCTCCTGAGGCTCTGGGCCACTCACACACAAATCAAGGCCCAGCCACAGTTCCAGGCATTCTATTTGGAGAGCTCATCTCTACACTACATGTTCTCCCAAAAGAGACTGATTTCTGTATCCCTAGGCTTTTCTATCCAGAGCGTGGCCTAGTCTCCATCAATGACAGAGCAATGCCCTTGGATGAGTTCTGGGCCACGAGCTCCAAGGCAGGGTTTCCTAGGTGGAGTCAGAGTAGAAGGTCTAGTCTTCCCTGTAGGACCCGAGGAAATGAACAAAATGCATTTATAGGGCAATGTCTGTGGTATCACACCTCTGGCCTTATTCTTCCAGCAAATCAGGCTCATTTCCATGGGTTGCAAATGGTGAAGAGATGTGACCATATGTTGTTTGGGCATTAAACAAATCCTAATGAGCTAAAAATATGTTTGTTTTAGCTAATTGACCTCTTTGGCCTTCATAAACCACTTGGTAAACATCCTGAGATGATAATTTCCAGAGAACAGATTGTGGCTCCCCACTGTGCCGAGAAAGACCCCCGTCCCCAGGACCATGTTCTCAGGCTGCCTGCTGAGGTGCACATGGGATCCTATCTACTCCCCCCTCAGCCCAAGAAGTGTTTCCTGGAGAAAACTGAGGGGACCCAGGAAGGGCAGAGCCACAGGCGCCTCTCCCAACTGCTGCTCCCAGGCTACACCACTGAAGTCTGAACCATCGTCGTCTTTAAATGAGAGAAATGCTCCTTGCCCAGAGGGGTGCCTCAAAGCAGGGGTTCTAGGTTTTGCTATATGTTACTGGTAAGTCATTTTCAAGCAAGATTCGTGTTATTTCTAGGAGAAGATCTAGGAGCAGGGAACCCAAGAAATGCAGCTAGGACTGGTTCCCAGGTGTGCTCCATGCAGGTGGGTAGAATGATCTGGATTCTGTGTGAGGTCTGGCACCACAGAGACCCAAGTCCTCCAATAACTCTGTTTTTCCTGTAGTCGGCAGGCTGTGGCTGAGCCCTGAACTAATTAACGGGGGTCTCCTTCAACCAGGAGAATCATGCTGATTAGAGCTCCGGGCTAACCTCATCTGATCTGGAATCCTATAAAGCCCAGAGGGTGGGTGGGCTGCCATACTCCATGCTGATGTCCAGAGATGTCATTCCTCTCATTGGAAAGCTGTGGGAGGACCTACCTGGTTGCCAGAGGCATTAGGAAGAGGTAGGAATAAAGTTCAAGACTTGAGGCTGGTGGTATACTCAGACTTAACCTCTGAACTATCTGAGCCAACCTTGGCCTCATTGGCTTCTTTTTGCTGCCCCCCCACCCCTGGCCCTGCATCCCCATGAAATGTTAGACTTAATTAGCCACTGAACTCTCTGGCCTGTTTCTCTGGCTATACAATTGGGATAATATCTAATTTAGCAGGTTTTCCAATAATTGGGAGCTTTTTATTTGCTGGTTACTGCAAAATACTTCATACAGAAGCACTGATGTGCTCTATATCATAAATAAGATACTTCCCTAAGTTCTCAGAATAGACTGCAAAGAGATCTACCCAATCCCAGAGTCCTGGGTCACCCAGAGCAGTGAGAGAATGATCTTTATTTGTAGGTTCATAACTTCCTTTGCCAGGCTCTGGGGGAAAATGTTGGTTCCTAAAACACACAGCACAGTGCCTGGCATGTACAAGGAACTCAAAATAAACAGCAGTTATTTGTGTTATTCTATGCAGGGATTGCTCAGCAAGATGAGATGCCGTGTTCCTTCCGGGTCAAACCACCCCAGCAGCTTTTCTCCAGTCCCTGGGGCCGATGCGCTTGAATTAGGCAGGATTAAAGGCTTACTGGAGCTGGAAGCCTCACCCCAGCTCCCAAGTTGAGCCCCAGACCTTCTGTCTGCCTACTGAGAAGGACGAAGGAGGAAGGCAGAAGCACAGAGCAGAGCTTTGGCCTTGCACAGTCAAGGGGGCTTTTGTTCAGGAGTCCTGGGTCACCAGCACTCGGCCTCCTGGGGATCCCCACCATGAGAGAATGGCTCTTGGTCCTGTCCATGCTGTTCTATGGACTGGCTGGCCCCACGCTCCTGTTCCAGCCGAGCCTCGTGCTGGATATGGCCAAGATCCTCTTGGACAACTACTGCTTCCCAGAGAACTTGATGGGGATGCAGGCAGCCATCGAGCAGGCCATGAAGAGTGATGAGATAATGAGCATCTCAGACCCTCAGACCCTGGCCCATGTGCTGACGGTTGGTATGCAGAGCTCCTTGAATGACCCGCGTCTGGTCATCTCCTACGAGCCCAGCATTCCAGAGGCTCCCCAGCAGGCCCCGGCTCTCACCAACCTCACACTAGAGGAACTACTTTCTGGGTTGGAGACAAACATCCACTATGAGATCCTGGAAGGCCATGTGGGCTACCTGCAGGTGAATGACATCCCGGGCCAGGAAGTGCTGAGCCAGCTTGGGGGATTCTTGGTGGAACACATGTGGAGTAAGCTCATGGGCACCTCTGCGTTGGTGCTGGATCTCCGATACTGCACTGGGGGCCACATCTCTGGTATCCCCTATATCATCTCCTACCTGAATCCTGGGAACACTGTCTTGCATGTGGATACCATCTATGACCGCCCCTCCAATACTACCACAGAGATCTGGACCCTGCCAGAGGTTCTAGGAGAGAGGTACAGTGCAGACAAAGATGTGGTGGTCCTCACCAGTGGACGCACTGGGGGTGTGGCTGAGGACATCGCGTACATCCTCAAGCAGATGCGCAGGGCCATTGTGGTGGGTGAGCGGACTGAGGGGGGTGCCCTGGACCTCCAGAAGCTGAGGGTAGGCCAGTCCAATTTCTTCCTCACTGTACCCGTGTCCAGGTCCCTGGGACCCCTAGGTGGAGGCAGCCAGACGTGGGAAGGCAGTGGAGTGCTGCCCTGTGTGGGAACACCAGCTGAGCAAGCCTTGGAGAAAGCCCTGGCCATCCTCACCCTGCGCCGTGCCCTGCCTGGTATTGTCCGCCATCTGCAAGAGGCCCTGCAGGAGTACTATACCTTGGTGGACCGGGTGCCAGCCCTGGTGCACCACCTGGCCAGCATGGACTACTCTGCAGTGGTCTCAGAAGAAGATCTGGTCACTAAGCTCAATGCCGGTCTGCAGGCTGTGTCTGAGGACCCCAGGCTCGTGGTGCGGGCTGTTGGGCCCAAAGAAACCTCTTCTGGGCCTGAGGCTGAAGTTGATGATACCCTAGTTGCAGCCCCTGAGGTGCCTGAGTTGCCCCAGGATGAAGCTGCCCGGCAAGCCGTGGTGAACTCTGTCTTTCAGGTGTCAGTGCTGCCAGGTAACGTGGGTTACATGCGCTTTGATGGATTTCCAGATGCCTCTGTGCTGGGGGCACTAGCCCCCTATGTGCTACGCCAAGTGTGGGAACCCCTGCAGGACACAGAGCACCTCATCATGGACTTGCGCTATAACCCCGGGGGACCATCCTCTGCGGTGCCTCTTCTGCTGTCCTACTTCCAGGGGCCAGAGGAAGGCTCTGTGCGCCTCTTCACCACCTATGACCGCAGGACCAACGTCACACAGGAGCACTTCAGCAGCAGCGAGCTGCTGGGCCCGCGCTATGGAAACCAGCGCGGGGTGTACTTGCTCACCAGCCACCGGACTGCCACTGCAGCTGAGGAGTTCGCCTTCCTCATGCAGTCCCTGGGCTGGGCCACGCTGGTGGGCGAGATCACTGCGGGCAGCCTGCTGCACACCTGCACTGTGCCACTGCTGGATACGCCTGAAGGAGGTCTGGTGCTCACTGTGCCAGTGCTGACTTTCATTGACAACCATGGTGAGGGCTGGCTGGGTGGTGGAGTGGTGCCTGATGCCATCGTACTGGCTGAGGAGGCCCTGGACAGAGCCCAGGAAGTGCTGGAGTTCCATCGCAGCTTGGGAGCCTTGGTGGAGGGCACAGGGCACCTGCTGGAGGCCCATTACGCACGGCCAGAGGTTGTGGAGCAGATGGTGTCTCTGCTGCGAGCCAAGCTGGCTCACGGGGCCTACCGCACGGCTGTGGACTTGGAATCGCTGGCCTCGCAGCTCACTGCTGACCTGCAGGAAGTGTCTGAGGACCACCGCTTGCTGGTGTTCCACAGTCCTGGCGAGCTGGTGGCTGAGGAGGTGCCCTTGCCACCCCCGGTGGTCCCCTCTCCAGAGGAGCTCTCCTACCTCATCGAGGCCCTGTTCAAGTCAGAGGTGCTACCTGGCCGGTTGGGCTACCTACGATTCGATGCCATGGCTGAGCTGGAGACGGTCAGGGCCATCGGGCCACAGCTGGTTAGGCTGGTGTGGCAGCCGGTGGTAGACACAGCCGCGCTAGTTATTGACCTGCGCTACAACACTGGCAGCTACTCCTCGGCTCTGCCACTGCTGTGCTCCTACTTCTTTGAGGCAGAGCCCCACCAGCACCTCTACTCCATCTTTGATAGGGCCACCTCAAAGGTCATGGAGATGTGGACGGTGTCCCAGGTGACCGGGCAGCGTTACGACCCCCACAAGGACCTCTACATCCTGATGAGCCACACCAGTGGGTCTGCAGCAGAGGCCTTTGCTCACACCATGCAGGACCTGCAGCGGGCCACAGTCATCGGGGAGCCCACAGCTGGAGGGGCACTCTCAGTGGGCATCTACCAGGTGGGCAGCAGCCCCTTATATGCCTCCATGCCCACCCAGATGGCCCTGAGTGCCACCACTGGGGAGGCCTGGGACCTGGCTGGGGTGGAACCTGACGTCATTGTGCCTGCCAGCGAGGCCCTCTCTACAGCCCAGGATATAGTGGCTCTGCGTGCCAAGGTGCCCACCGTGCTGCAGACAGCTGGGAAGCTTGTAGCTGATAACTACGCCTCCCCTGAGCTGGGGGCCAAGATGGCTGCCAAGCTGAGTGGTCTCCAGAGTCGCTATGCAAGGGTGACCTCAGAAGGGTCCCTAGCTGAGATGCTAGGGGCTGATCTGCAGCTGCTTTCTGGGGACCCACACCTGAAGACAGCCCACATCCCTGAGGATGCAAAGGACCGCATTCCTGGAATTGTACCTATGCAGGTGAGATACAAGAGAGATTTGGCCCAATCCAATCCTGGAGGTGAGCTCACCAGTAGTCTCCAAGTACAGGGCTTTGTGTGCAGCACAAGGCAATTTTTTTCTGGGCTTGTTTTCATGGTTAAATCTTCAGTCATGTCTTCCCCCCCCCGCCACCCCCCTCCCTCATTCCATCCACCTTCTAAGCTCAGAAATCCCAAAACCCTTCTATAGAACATTACTACTCACCAGAACCCTGTTTTTGAAATCCCCTGGGATAGAAGAAGGAGATATTTGCAGGGGTTATCATTGTCAGTGTTGGGGAAAGAGGTCCCCAAGCTCTGATTTCCCCTCTGGAAATGTGGAAGTTGGTAATCCCTACCCACTGCCTGCTTCTGGGCTTTGCAATTTGCGTGAACGAGTTGGGGTAGAGCTGGAGAAGTGGGGGTAGGGACAGGGAAGGAGACAATGGCCCCAGCCTCACAGTAGTCTCAGAGCTAAAACATGGAGCCTGGACACAGGCCGTGGAGGGGCCAGGAGTGCCAGACACAGTCCAGAAGCCCCTCTGCATTAGGAGCCTACTGCTCATCTCTTCCCTTCCCACAGTGCAGTGTGCAGCCTCCTGAAGGAGCAGTGCTGGGTGGATATGCAGCCTGATCTAAGGGCCTGCTGGATGGAAAACTCAGAGCAAGACCCCCATGATTGAAATATTTGAAACCAGCACTGAGGCTTTGGGGGAACATGAAAACAGGTGGAGGGAGTGTGGCTGCTGGGTCCAGTGGCCAAGGCGGCCACGGGATTCACCAAGCGCCCCACCATTAGCTGAGCACTGCATCAAAGGGCAGAACTTATAACATCTCTCTTCACTGTTTTCTTACTGGGGTTTTGCTGCTTGGTCACTATGAGCAGGCAGGACATTTGCTTTAGTTCTCTTGGAAAAAAGGCCTGAAGTTAGGACGTGGGTGTAGGCAGCTTATTTGGGAGGTGTCACTGAGCAGGAGTGAGAGACCAGGGAGTGAGATGGGGCAGGAGGAGAGCAGATAGCTGGGCTCATTGTTTAGACTGCTGCTGCAGAGGACAGCAGGACCCTGAGAAGTACAGGGTCCTCCTTAGGTGGAAAGGACCCAGCAGCTCCTGTTCCTCCATTTGCTGAGAATACCCTGGGAACACCGACTATTGTACACTGGGGCAGGGAAGGCTTGTACCACTTGGAAAAGGCCTGGGAGAGTGCAGAAAGGCATGAGGGTATGCAGGAAGGGCAGAAATAACTAGAATCAGAGAGAGACTGAGGGGAGGGCAGGGCTGGAGACCAGTGTCCCCATGCACACAGATCTCCCTGTTGGCTCCATACCCTCAGCCCGCCTCACTGAGTGCTGTTACCTTCCAGCAGCCTTGGCGAGAGAAGAAGAGAAGTACAGCCATGTTGGGGGATCCTGGGATGGGCTTGCAGAACTACAAATTTCTAAATTGCCTGCTTGTTGTTTTCCAGCATAGCCAGGGTTCACAGTTTGGAGTTAGATGTGGATTCAGAGTGTGGCTTCATCCCTTACTGGCTATGTAACCTTGAGCAATTTACTTCATCTCTCCGTGATTCAGTTTTCTTTTTTTATGGGAAAGATGACAGTAATGGTGTAACCCTTAAGGAATGGCTGTAAGGGTGATGATAAAGCTGCAGAATGCTTAGCCCAAGGCCAGGTCCCTGGGAAAGGTAATAATGTCTCCCCTCCCTGCCACAGTGGAGGAGAGGAAGATGAGCCCAGGGACACTGGGAAGTGTTGGGGGAGACTATGCCTGGACCTTCAGCTCTGGATACCAGGGAGTGGGGTTGTCAGACATGAGTATTCTCTGGAAGGAGGCTGTCAATCAATTAATCAATTGATTCATTTATATGAGTTCACATCCTGGGCCTGAGTTCACCAATCTCCCAGATGTGCCACAGCAATTCCCTAGTATCTACTAACTCCTTCAGAAATGTTTGTTCCCTTCCTATCCCCTTAATATTTCTCGTGACATAAAGGGAACCTGTAGCACCCATTTTCTGGAGGCTCTGCCATGTGCTGCTCTCCTGACTCTTCCAGATCCCTTCTCCAGAAGTCTTTGCAGACTTGATCAAGTTTTCTTTCCATACTAATGTGCTGGAGGACAACATTGGCTACCTGAGGTTTGACATGTTTGGGGACTGTGAGCTGCTCACCCAGGTCTCTGAGCTGCTGGTGGAACACATCTGGAAGAAGATTGTGCACACAGATGCCATGATTATCGACATGAGGTCAGTAGCTCAAGGACCAGTGCTCTGGCCAGGCAGTAGCCAGAAGACACCAGAGCTATGGGCTGTAGCAAGGAAGAAAAAGACCCTATGATGCAGCAAGAGAGAAGATAGGGACCAGGCCACCTTGCAACTGGGCCTCCTGCCAACCAGCCCTGGGGTCCTGCTTTAATTGCACGGTGGGGCCCCAGCACTGGTAAATTCTTTTAAGCTCCTCCAGTAATCCCAATGTGAATTTCAGGATGAGAATTACCCCAGACTTGTTGCCTGGTTATAAGAATCCAATAGGGGTGGGAAGAGCAGGGGACATTAAACAGATTGATTCCTGGGCCCTACTCCAGACTTCCTGAGTTAGTAGTTCCAGGGTGCAGGCATAATTGGTATATTTAACAAGCATTTAAGGTAGTTCTGATGATTAGTCCTATTAGAGACAGTTGAATCCTATACCTGTGGTTGTGCTTCAGAACATACAAAATCAACCCTGGTCATGAGAATCAGAAAGCCAGTGATGCAGAGAGAATTTGTAAATGAACATTATCATGGCAAAAAAGAATTCTTTGCATCACAAATGGTTGTTGGAAGGATGTTTTCAGCTAGCCTTCTCCCTTCTGCATAGCAAAAACTCACCTTACATGCAGTGAGTTCCCATCACAGAATAGAAGCTTGGAAGCAGAAAAGTCCTCAGGCAAGGCTAGGACCAGGCTTCCTTGATTCCTGAGTCCATTGGTAGATATGTCCTGGACACTCTCCATGGGCCTGGGAGGAGCAGCCTGCTCCCATCTGACAGGGACACTTCCTATTCTCCCAGATCCCTGATAGAAGGGGCAGGATTAGCAGACAGGGAGCTTCTACACCAGCTACTGGTTGCTAGCTGACAACACTCACATGGCTCTTAGTTGCCACTAGGTGGCACTGAATCCCAGCGAGGCTGGTTCTCCCTTGAAGGTAAATCATTTCCCAACACCGTGCATTTGTGCATGCCCAGCACCGGAACTTGGAGTTCCTATGGTTCCTCTGACCCTTTTATTCTTCATACCCTTTAGTGAACAACGGAACCACCTTTAGTGCTAAATCTCTTTCTGATTAAATGAGTCATCAACAATTTTAAAGAGGAGGAAGTCTCAGCCTGTAGTTAGAACTGACTTTAAAAAAAAAAAAAAAAAAAAAACCCTTTGATCCCTGAGGTTTGGAAGTTCAGATGCTGGGGTCATGGGCCATGAACAAAGCTAGGCCATCCTAAGCCATTGACCAGAAAAGGTTTCTAACATATCACCAGACTCCCAGATGGGGAGGCAGGGGTACAGCAAGGTCATACAGTGGGACAAATTCAAATGCCCTTAGATGGACTCAGGTGCCCTCATTTCTGATGCAATTCCACAACCTGCAACACGAAGAGCCATGTTAGGACACCTGAGATACCTGGGGGATTTTGTAAAATTATCATAGAATGCAGAGGGGGATAATGATGTTTTTCAAAATATGCTCCATTGGTAGGCACTGTGGGTATAGGGGAGCAGTCCCTGGTCAATACCTGGAGGAAACTTGCTAACAAATTTCTAACTGCAGGGCATATTGTGTTAAGGTCTGTAGACAAGTCAAAATAACACCTGGTATTTTGCCAGGGAAATGTTAGAGTTCGTAAACAAGTTTGGATGGTGCCTGGCAAAATGCCAGAGGGAGTGGTTTGAGAAGTAACAAAAGTG